GCTGTTTAAATATGTACTTAAAAGGCTCTGCAAGCCAGATGCCCGGAAATGTCTTAACCGAAGCACGTAAATTCGCAATTTTGCATCGTTCAATGCTTCAAAGGTTCTGATATCGCTAGTGCCAGACAGCCGTGATAAGGTAATATCATTTATACATTCATGCTAATTACATATTTCTCTTTCATTTTACATTCTGACATTTGGTTTGTGGAATTTTATTCATTTTATTTTTATATAAATAAAACTCTACGCTTAATTACGAAGCATAAAAAAAAGTTAAGTTAAAAGTTTATATTGTTTGAAAAACTTGATCATTAATATATTTTATGGCTTCTATGTATTCAAGATTTCATAACGGTGGATTAATTTGAGATGTTTGAAAACGTCGATTCGGGCAAATAAATGAGTTGAAGTACATTTCCTCCTTCGCTGCTTCTACAGACTGCAATCATTTCCTTTCACTCCACACTGAAATCATTTTCTTTCTGAACTGAACTTCACAAGTGGTGAAGTAGAGAAGAAGATAGAGACTTCCAAAACAAGTAACGCAATAAGCAAACGCGGATTTAGCATAAGTTAAGAAGAAGTGAGAACAAGAAGACGATCGTGAACCGGGGCGTTTAGGTTCAATTAATATATAAGATAAGTATATTGGAAATAATTTAGATTGAGATTAATACATTAATGTGCACATTTTAAGGATTATTGTATATCCTATAGGTAGCCAGTGCAAGAGAACATGATTTGGAGATATATGAGAAAAGAAAAGGGCACGAGCAACCAGACGAGCAGCAGAGTTAAAAGCTTTACTTAAAGGATAAAGTGTAGAATCAGGAAGACCATAGTAGAGCGAGTTACAATAATCAATCTTAGATAAAACTAATGAAGTAACAAGAAGGAGAAGAGTAGGATCATCAAGAAAAGGCTAAAGTTTTTTTTCTATGTAAATGAAAGTAAGAACTTTTAGCGACGCTCTTAATCTGAGAAGAAAGAGACATACTAGAATCAAAAACAGTTTTCATTAACGATTATTATTATTCATCAAATTTTACATTTTTTAATGTTTATTAATAATTTTCATTTAATTTTTCAAGATTTTATTAATTTTGAATATTTTTTAATTGTTTTATTTGATGGATCTACATAACATTTCAGTATATTTAGTTTTTTTTTCTGGTGTCATATGAGTCGCAACGATCAAAGACCTTATCATTGACAGGGACAGGCCCCCTACGGACATTATGATTTGATCAATACCAGAACAAGCGCTCTTTTTCCAAACTTTTATTTTGGCTCATTTTTGTAAAATCAATTTTCAATTTAATGAAATAAATATCAAATAACTTAAAAAAAATAAATAGAAATTAATGTGTTATGTCATGTTAAATAACACATTAATTTCCATGTTATGGCAGATTTCTTACTGTTATATTTCAGATTGTATTACAAACAGTAGATTAGTTTCAATCACATCGTATAACAATGACGATGATGATGAAGATGACAATGATGAGGATGAACAGTTGTGGTGATTATAGTGATGGTTACTACAATGACGACGACGACGATGAGAACGATATCAAAAGATAATTTTTAAATTTTTCTTCATAAATTTTCCAACTTCTAGATGGTATGTAATTGAAAATGATATGATCAAATATAAAAGTAAATAAAAAGGCAATGTCATTGAAAGAGTAGCAGTAACGTTACATGCATTCAGACAAGCAGCCAGCTTGTACGTGGCACAATTTTTCTCACTTTAAGAGTGTGTGAAAGAAAATATTCGTTCCGTTGTTTACAGATGCCATGAATAAACCGTCAGACAGCCTGGTCAGGTGTTTTGTTTAGCAACTACCCCAAATGACAATTTAATAGCGTTCTAGTGCTTTCCTGCTTATGTGAGAATGTCTTGATGTGGTGGTGTTGTATACTGATGTGCTATATTATTTTCAGTTTCTTTTCTTCTCAATTTATTTTCTCCTCCTATCACAAGCAACATAAATCCACAAAACGTGACTCAATCTTTATATACACTTTTTTCAAAATATTCATATTCAATATGTTTCATTAATGGGTTGGCATTAATTAACTTTGATGATTTACTCTATTGCTAATAGATGGTTCCGTATGCAAAGATTTCTATATGCTTCAAAAAGTTCCTCATTCCAAAACAAAATCGTTATTTAGTTAATAAGAAATTGTTTTCAATTAAACTTTGTTTGAGTTAGCTGAAACTGGCAAGGTAGAAGCATAATGTGAGGAAGATTTTGCAGTGTGGAAGTTTAGTTTTCAAACGCTATCTACCACGCCACCTCCAGCCATAGCCACTGACAAGTTTGTCGACTCTCCTACCAGAAGCCTCATCATGTACAGAATGTTTTATTATTTTGCGAAATATGTTGAAAATAACTTTTAAAATATTTGTTTTTTTTTACATAGGAAATATTGACCATTAATTAAAACTAAAAATATGACATTGTTTACGTTGGCAATGAAATTATGTTTTAAAATTTCCGTGTCGTCTCATTAGACATATTAATTTTAAAATAAATTTTCTTTTCGACAGAAATTTTAAAAGCCTTTAGTGACATCAATTTGAAACAAATAAAAAATGATGGATTGCACTCACAAGGAGATTAAATTTAATAGCGGTTAATTTGTTCTCCATTTTTCAAATGTGTCGCTGTGAGACTTTACATGTTGCTTATATACCTATGTGGTGTTTGTGTTGCTTGTATGGGTAGTTTTTATGTGTTGTTTGTATGCGTTGTTTGTATTGCTTATACATGTTGTTGTTTGTGTTGTTTGTAGTTGTTGTTTGTAAAGCTTAGGTGTGCTGTGTGTTTTTCTTAAATGTGTTGCTTGTTTTTTATGTTGTTTTTTTTATAATTTACATGTATGTATAGATTGAGTACGTTGTATTGTATTTGTTTGTTGTTTATATAGGTTGAATATATATGTTTACAATGATTGTTTTTATAGGGTTTGCCTTTAGGGTACTGCGTGTTTATGTTGCGTGTGTATGTTACATGTGCGTAAAACAATAAACGTCAAAGTCACCAAACATGCCGTTCGGTAAATGTTCGCTTCTTTCTGAGGAAAGATTTTTTCACGATGTTCAACTCAACAAAACGCATAATGTCCAACGGTCTTAGCAACGGTAATTCAATCATGAACATTAAATCTTACCAGAGTCGTAGCCAAAGAATTTAGCTAAAAGGATTAACGTTCAATTGAGCAATACTTTAGCATAACTGTTTCTGCTCTTCACCTTATCCCATCAACAACTAAATTTTGTTAACTTTCGTACGAAAAAATTGGTTTGAAAACTGATAAATATAAAGAGATAAGCGGAAAGCAAATGTTACTAATACTAATTTTTTAGAAAATGCAAGTTCCTCTCGCAATAAATGTTGCCCGTCCCACCCACTGATTCTCATACATCTTTCATCAATTAAAATATTATCAGCGTTATTTTTGAGAACGAGAAAGAAATCAATGACAAAATAAGTGAGCAGGCAGTAGCAGTGATGACGTTAGACACTGATTGGGATGGGAAAATGGTGAGATAGGAACACAAATACAGAATATATTCTATATATATATATATATATATATATATATATATATATATATATATAAATTATGTGAGAAATTTAAAAGTGTTTAATGAAAACAAAATTAAAAACTGGCTAAGAAAATTGTAGAAAACTTTCAGAAAATAACAAAAACCTATTTTAATTTGAATATATTATATTTGCAATGCGATCCGCCATTTAAAAGCATCGGGACAAAAAAATATTTTCCAGTAAAAAGTTTTAAATTTTTACGCTCATCAATATTTACTAATACAGAAAAACTGTTAAAAATGGAATGAGTGAAAGAAACAAAAGAATGAATGAACGAACATCTGACCTTAGTGTGCGTGTTTCTGATAGATATGGAATGGAAAATAATCGTTCCATTTTATGGCTTTTTCCATTAGATAGAGAAATGTTCCTTCCTCTGCAGCACAGCAATAAGTTCGATGATAACAGCAATGAATGACCATGATTTAGTTAGAGCAATAAAATGAAGTCTCGCTATCTCGTGCGTTCATTTTTATATTCTTTTCAATTTGTCAAACTGCCTAAAGGGAAGAAGAATTTTATTAAAGATGGTTCAACTGAACAGATACATTTGAAATATTTGCGTTGCTAAAACTTGTTTTAATTTTGTCAATAAATCCCAAAAATATAATTGAGCTTGAAATTGTCATGATTGTTCCGTTACATTCTCAAGGTAATTAAATATTGTAACTATTTACATTATACTGAAGCACAAATCTATCAAAATTATTTTAATGACTTAATAACACCCCAGTTTAAAAAAATGGTTGCTAATTAAATACTCTAAATGCTATAACCGAAAATTTGCAACCGTAAAATATAACCATCATTTTCAGTACATTTCTTGTAAACCAACACAAAAGAGGCGCTATACAAATCATCAAATACAATTGCATGTAAGGAAAACCTGCCATCGCCGGCCAATGTCCACATTCGGGTACTAAGGTTCGATTCTTTAAATATGATTTGTCGCCTCCACGTTCGATGTAATTTTTCAAGTCGTCAGACGACGCTCCTACTAAAGAACACAGACTAAATTTTCAATGGAAAAACGGATCATGTGAAACAATATTTCTACAATAACAAAAGTTATTAGCGACTGGAATGGTCTAGATAAAGACTACAAGCACTTTTAAGACCAGGCTGGTTGAAGAAGGATTTTAATTTAAAAAATGGTTTTTACTTAGCTCTACCTATATATATTTAATAAAATATACACTATAACAATTTACATTTATTTTTATACAAATACAATAACTATAATAATTCGAATTTATATTTTTAATAAATCACCAAACGCTTAACATCTATCTAAGTCTGCAGTCAAAACAAACCAGTCCTTAGTTGTTGTAACTAACAATATCTTTTCTCTATAGCAAAATGGACGTTCGATGTTATTTAAATAATAATTATTATTATAATATTTATTTGGAGTGTCGTACGTTACGTTGGATGGCTTTCATTAACAATTTTAATTTTACTTTCAGTAACTGCTTTAACTAAAAAATTAAACTAGTTGACGTTGCAATATTTAATAAAAATGAAATATTAGTTCAGCACTTCAGTTGATTTACTTATTAATTAATTAATAAAATTGAAATAAATTAATAAATCTTATTGACATCAAAAAATTAAATTATTTAGTTTGTTTTTTGTTATCCTCTAGCAAATAAATATAAAACCAAAAGTTGTCACTAATTTATTTATATCTTATGTTTCTTATCTAATCTAATGAATCAATCTTTGTTAATTTTGTCATTATTTATTAATTATTAATAAAAGTAAATTTTAAAAAATTTTATGAATGAGTAACCAGTCGTAAAATCGTCAGAATCAAAACCAACACTTTCGAATTTATTTAAGTAAGACTTAACTAAACTATTAAAATAAACTTAAAGTTTAATTTTTTGCTTAACTTAGCAATTTAGCTATTTTATTTTCATTTGAATTTTATTGAAATTTAATTTAATTAATTTAAAACCATTAGCTAAAAGAGTAGAGTTGTAGAATGTAAACAAGTAAAGAAAATATAGCAATGCTTGCTTGTTTTTTTAATTTAAAAATAATTGTTTTAATTTTTTTATAGATTGAATTAAATATAATGTAAAAATTTCATTTTTAATTTCACTCCAATTCCAATATGATTCGATTTAATAAATTAATTTAAATTATTACAGACAGGAACTGTTCACTAGCATTAAATTATTAAAGTAATGTTACTAAAAAGTTATTTTAATATTCTTGTTTTTTTATTCTAAAATTATTATTTATGCAGATCTTGAAAAATGGATAGCAGTCTAAGAATAAAAAGAGACCACTGGTTGTTTGTTAGATTTATGAAGAACAGCAACTTATGCAAGTACATCGATGTCTTCCCAAGTGACATGACTATAAACCAATTGAAAGGTCTTTCCAACAACAATTTGTTAACTATTTATGGCATCGACTCCATTGAAGACAGGATTGCCATTATGAAGGCCGTGCATGAGTATAACGTCAAAAGAATCGACCAAAGTGATCATGAAGTAAGTATTTTAAACTTTAAAACTTTATTTAAATGAACCAAGCTTGCTGTTTCAAGTTGTTTGTCATTGAAAGGTTTATCTGAGCTCTTATTGGCCATTACTTTATTAACTAGCCCTATCGTATTGCATCATTTACTAAGTCTTAGGATTAGGATAACATTCAGTTTTTCAATATTCATGATTATATTTTTTGACATTAATTGTGGGAATCTTATGAAGAAATGTTTGCACTCAGTTTTGTTCTTTCTATTGCTCATTTAATGACACATGTTCATGTGTTGTTGTTTTCCAGTCAGATGGTAGCAACATTGATACGTCTTTATTGCTGAGGGACAAGACATGCTCCAGGCCGGCCCAAATGAGTAGACGACACAGTGTACACAGGGACATCTTCATGAGTCGGAGAATTTTGAGATGTGGATCGGAGAAGATGAAAATCAACATTAACAACAGAAACAGTTTGAATAAGTCACAAAATAGTTGGTTGTTGTTTTGAAAACGTTATTTATCTCTGAGGTATAAATAGTTCGGCAATTGAAATAAATTCTAGTGTTTTTAATGTAATAAATTTTCTTTTTGCGTGACTTGAAATTTTAAATTGCTAGGTATTTCAGTTATTTTGTCATTATAATTTTGGATAACCTTTGTCATTGTTATTTGTTCCTAATATTTTATACTATGTAATACGTCCTACCTTGGGGAAACTGGGTCTCTAGATGCTAAACGAAGATTGATTGATTTTAAATTGTGTAATGTATAGGTGTAATCTGTATTGATTATGGTAATGTTGGTAAATGATGCTGACGATGAGTGTTGAGGTTATGAGATGATGACGGTTCTACTGCTGCTGCTGCTGATGATGATGATGGTAATGGTGGTGATGATGATGATGAAATAATGAAGACAATAAAGATGGTGAAATGTTGATGAAATGATTGATGGTGTGAATATTATGCTATGAAAACAGCCAGCTTAGACTTGCCTGCAAGCAATCTCATGAAAATAAGGAATCATCACTTGGGCCACTCAGCTCCCGACATTGTATCTTCTCTCAGCACCAGCTCACTCAATGTTTGTTTGTTCATCTGTTTGTTTAGTTTTTTCAACTTTTTGCATGTTTCATTCCTGATTTGTTGTATTGGCTCGTTTGCTTCTTGCTCGTTTTTGTTCTGGTTCATTCACTTGTCTTACTGTTATCAGGAAAGCAATATTGGGATGAAGAAAATGAACAAGTCTGACAAGTGAGAATGATTCTTTTTTTATTTTTTACTCTTAAAAACATTATGAGAAAAAAAATTTATTAAAGCAAATGATTTTTTTATTCTCTGATACACTTTTTCAAGTTTGTATTATTTTTTTAATTCATTTAAAAATATTTTCTTTCAAAGGCTTGGACAACCACTGTATACGTTTGCGACAACAAAACAAGGTGAGTTGTATTGAGACATTCATTTGTACAGATAGTAGATGCATTTGATAACATCCTCTGCATGTGGGCCATGTCGTAAATACAATTGTCCTGGGAGTTATTTAACTCTATGGATTATTTTTTCATTATTTTTTGTAGAAGAACATAATCAGTTGATCAGATTTTATTGGCTTATTGATTTTTATGACGATATTCAGAGGAAGTTATTTACCAAAAAAAAACTTAGCTAAAACATGTTTGTTTAAAAATTCGGAAGAGGTGTTTTTATAATACAATTTGTAATTTCTCATTCTTACAAGTGTTGTAATTAAAATAGATAACAGTTAGTGTGCAATTGGAGCATTAATTTATTACTCTTCTCTTCAGTTGTTAGTGTGCTCAGACATGTTGCACCACATGAAACTACATTCATTAGCTAGTAACCATAGCACCTCTTCATCAATAAACTTCAAGAGAGTTACACCAGTCACTTGCCGTTAAACGTGTTTGCCAGCTGTACAAATGGTCAATAATGATCAATAATAAATATACTTCAAACTTGATCGTAATCTATTCAAAAACAATCCACCAATTGTTAGCAGCGCTAAATAGAGACACGAGTAAAAATTATGAACGGTGATAAAATTTTTTCATTTTTTCCCCTGTGCCAGGTGTGAGGTGGATGTAATGATGCCTCTCATCTCAATAAGCTCGTCATGCATCAAAACCCTCACAACTTTGTAGCAGATTTTTTTCCATTTTTTAACAATATTTATTAAATTTCAAGTTATGTAATTAGCTAAAAAAAGGTTTCTTTTTCAGCAATATGCATCTGAACGTGCATCTGCCGTACATTATTTCGCCAGGGACGGCTCTCTCCTATCATATTTTCTGTGTTTTGATAATTATGATATTGCCATTCAAAAACTGATCAACACAACAACTGAACAGCAATACGTAACAAAGACATCAAATGCACAAAGAACGTAATTGTGTATTTTAGAGGTCCAAATTTAACGTTTTAAAAGTTTATGAAGCAATTACTGTTTGTTACATTTAAAATGGGGCTTAATCATCAATTTCATCACATAACAACTGCAAAACAGGGTTTCCTACCAGTTACCTCTCCACTGCAGTTAACTATTTTTAGTAATAAATAAATAATACAAGGTACTATGTTAATGAACCTTTGAAATGGGTTCAACGACTGTAAAGTTATTTGCATTATATACATGTGCTGTATTCATAATTTAATCTGTGTGAGTATATATGTGTATATATATATATATATATATATATATATATATATATATATATATATATATATATATATGCACATTGTTTTCTTACACCAGTAAATTTTTATTTAAATGTATAAAAATATAACCAGAGAAGTTCGACAGTCCAAAAGTCTCATCCGTGCGCAGCAAATT